CCCCACCCGGGGGTCTGTCTGTCCATGCCATGGGTCATTCCAGGCTCTGTCCATGGGCACCAAGGCTGGCAATGACCCCCACCCGGGGGTCTGTCCGTGCCGTGGGTCTGTCTGTGCCATCCCAGGGTCTCTCCTCGGGCACCGGGCTGGCAGTGCTCCCCCTCCGAGGGGATTTTTGTCCCCCGGAGCCCCCGGCAGCCGCGGCGAAAGGAGAGCAGCTATTAATAACCCTGCGCACCCAGGGAAAAGATGTAATTCCATAATGGAAGCGGCTCCGAGCACAATTCGGGGAATAAAATGTTCGGGGAGGGGGGAGGGGGGGTTGGGGGGCGGGGGCAGGGGGGGAGCCCAGCCCCCACCGCGCGGGGCTGCGGCTCCGCGGTGCCGGTGCCCCCCGGGATGGAGGGAGAAGCCCCCCGGCCCCGCCACCACCCCCGGGGGCTCCGCAGGGCACGGGGGGCGCCGGGGGTCGCCGGTGCCCCTCCCGGGGCAGGCCACGGCAGCGGGGTCGGGGTCCGGGCTCCGGCGCGTGTGTCCCCCCCGGAGCAGCCCCGGGACCGGCCGAGCCCCGGTGGGGGGGGGGGGGTCACAGCCCCGGGGGCGGCCCCGGCGCGTGGCGGGGGAGGGGCTGGCGGCCGCCCGGTGCCCACGTGGTTTGTCGGTGTCTCCGGAGCGGAAGAAACGGCGGCGGGGCCGGGGCTGCGGCGGGGACCGGGAACGGCAGCGGGACCCGGCGGGGCGGGGACGGAGCCGCATCCCGGCGGGCGCCGCCGCAGCGCAGCAGCAGCGCCGGTGAGTGTGGGGCCTGGGCCGGGAGACGGCGGCAGCGGCCGGGGGGGCACAGCGGGCTGCCCCCGCCCCACCGGGCCTGTCCTCTCCCGCCACAGCGCGACCCCGGCCCCGGCGCCGTCTGCCCCCGCCGCCTTCACCATCCCCGCTTCATCCTCATGCGCTGCTCCATCCCCATCCTCATCCTCATCCTCACCCCCATCCTCATCCCCATCCCCATCCTCATCCCCATCCCCATCCTCATCCTCACCCCCATCCTCATCCCCATCCCCATCCTCATCCTCACCCCCATCCTCATCCCCATCTCTATCCCCGGCTGGATTCGCATCTTCATCCCCACCTTCATCCCCATCCCCGGTTCCGTGCCCATCTCCAGCCCGGTTCCATCCTCATCCCCATCCCCGGCTCCATCCTCATCCCCATCCCCGGCTCCATCCTCATCCTCATCCCGTCCCGGCTCCGCCCCAGACCCCTCCTGCGTTTCCGTCCCCGGCCCCGGCCCCCGGCGCGGTGCGGCCCCGGGCTGGACGCGGGGGGGGCCGGGCGGCACCGGGCCGGTCCGGGGGCGTTCGGGGACGGTTTCCGGGGGCTCCGGGGCCGCCGCAGGCCGGACCCCCCCCCACCCTATTGCGACCCCCGTCCGCGCTCACCGCGCACCGGGCCTGGCTCGCCAAGTCGGGGGCGCGCTCGCCCCGTGCCCCTTTCCCCGCCGGTTCTCCCCCGGTTCCCCCCCGGTTCCACGGCCGCTGCCCTCGCTCGTGGCCGTGGCGGTGCCCCCAGCCCCTCCCCGCGTCCCCCCAGCCCCGCAGCACCGGGACAGCGCCGGGGGGGTCCCAGCCATGAGGAGGGGGCTCATCCCGGCCGCGGCCACCGAGGGCCGGGCAGGGGGGGCTGCCCTAGGCCGGCTCCTCCCGAGTGCATCCTCCCGACCCCCAAAAGGGTTTTTTGGGGGGGCCAAGCCCTGTCCCTAACCCAGCCAGGTGCCAGCAGCACCCACAGCCTGGCACATCCCATTCCCGTCCCCATTCCGTTCCCGGTCCCGTTCCCATTCCCACCGGAGCCCTGAGCCGGCCGAGCCCTCCCGCAGTGTCCCAGTCCCGGGGAGCTGCAGCCCCATTTCTGCTCATTTTCCAAGCCTCATTTTTGCTCATTTTCCAAGCCCCATTTCTGTTCATTTCCAAGCCCCATTTCTGCTTTTTTCCAAGCCCTATTTTCTGTTTTTCTCCCCAGGCATTTGCGGGCCTCGAGGAGGGGCCGGGAGTGCGGAGGGGGCGCGGGGACCCCGCCTGGAACCGATGAGAGCAGCCCTGGCACCCACCGATCCTCTCTTGGCTGATGTCCGGAGCTCCCGCACCTGAGCCACGCCTGTGCCAGCCCCGTGACACGCCGGTGACACGCCAGTGACACGCCTGTGACACGCCTGAGCCCGCGCCGCAGCCCTGCCCAGCCCGCGCTGCTTCGCCCCGCGCCCGGGGCCCGCTGCAAGGCACGTGTCCCAGCGGGCTGGGGAAACTGAGGCACGGCACTCCGGGCAGCAGCAGGGACACCCCGGGGAGCTCCGGGCCGGGCTGGGGACACACAGCTGCCTGCAGGCCTGGAGTGTTGGGGACAAAGAGGGTCCTGTCACCTCGGTGCCTCCGCTGGCAGGGCCTGGGACCCCCCCAAAGGCTCTGGGGATCTTCATTTGGGGGGGGTCACCAGAGCTTGGGGAGCCTCATCTTGGCTTTGGGGGTGCCTCAGTTTCCCCAGGAGGGTGATGGCAGTGCCCTCCCTGCCCGAGCAGAGCTGTGTCCCCTCTGTCCCCACCCCGGGGGTGGATTTAAGCCCCCTGGTCCAGGATTTGTTCTCTGTGTCCCATGGGACCCCCGGCCTGGGGGTGCCAGGGGGGCCGGGCTGTCCCCAGGCTCCCGAGGGGGCCGTGCTGTGCCCCCCTCCTGTGCCAGCAGCCCGCAGACCTCTCCTCCCTCTGCCAGCTCCGTGCCATGAATTATTTGTGTGGCAGTGGCTCCAGATGTCTGCCGAGCCACCCTGCTGCCTGCGGGGACAGGGACAGGGACAGGGACAGGGACAGGGATGGGACAGGGACAGGGACAGGGACAGGGACAGGGACAGGGGATAGGGACAGGGATAGGGATGGGACAGAGATGGACACAGGGACAGGGGACAGGGACAGAGATGGGATAGGGACAGAGACAGGGACAGGGACAGGGGAGGGACAGGGTTGGGACAGAGATGGACACAGAGACGGGGACAGGGGGACAGGGTCAGGGACAGCGCCAGGGCCGGCTGCGCTGCCTCCGGGCGCCGCTCCCACCGGGAAACGCCCCGGGAGCCACCGGAGGCGGCGGCTGCGGGAGCCGCGGCCAGCCCGGAGCCCCGCGCGGGGTCCGCGCCGCGGCGGGGCGGGACGGGCGCGGCGGGGACCCCGGGAGGGGTTGGGGACGGTGCCGGGAGCCAGGTGGCTCCCGGGGCTGAGCGGCAGCGCCGGTATTTAGGGCACGGCCGCGCGAGGCGTGGGAGGCCGGGAAGCCGCTCGCGTGCGGGAGCCGCGGCACCGGCCGCTATTTCTGGTGCTCGGTCCCCGGAGGGGACGTCAGGAATGTCACCGTGTCCCCCCCGGGGGGCTCTGCCCGGGGTGCTCTCTGCTCCCTCCCTCCTGCTGATGGAGGCTGGGGGGTGAGGATCTGTGTCCCCTCTTTCCCCCGTGGGGACGGAGGCGATGGCGTGGCCGGTGTCCCCTTGTCACCCCAGGGGACAGCGTGGGGTCGGAGCTGCTGGTGGTGGCAGCCCCTGGGACCGTCACTCGGTGTCACCGGGACAGGCTGAGCTCCCACAGACCCCGCTCTGACCCACCTGGGCCGGGTGGGTCACCGCCACCCCAGGGTCCCCCCAGCCCCAGCGCTGCCCTGGCCGGGCCCAGCCCCGGCCGGGTGTCAGCGGAGCGTCCCTGCAGGCAGGACATGGACTCCATGTTCGAGGACGACATCAGCATCCTGACGCAGGAGGCGCTGGGGCCGGACGAGGACTGGCTGGACAGCCCCAACACCGACCTGTCGGGCGAGATGTGCTCGGCCTCGCACTTCGCCCTCATCACCGCCTACGACGACATCAAGAACCGGCTCACGGGGCTGGAGAGGGAGAACTCCACGCTCAAGCGCCGCCTCAAGATGTACGAGGTCAAGGTGAGGGGTCGGGGGAAGCTCGGGGGGGCCGGGGGGCCGGAGGGACCCCGCTGACCGCCTGCCCCGCGGCCGCAGTACCCCCTGATCGGCGAGTTCGGCGAGGAGCACATCTTCTCCCTCTACGAGGCCAAGGAGAACTCGCTGCTCAAGAGCGAGAAGGCGTCGCTGCAGCAGCAGCTCAACCAGTTCCAGCACGAGGTGAGGAGAGCCTGGGGGTTTGGGGGGGCTTTAGGGGGTCCCTGAGCCATCCACCCACCCCCAAATCCCCTCCACCTTCCCCTGGCAGCTGCAGAAGAGCAAGGAGCGGGAGGAGCAGCTGGAGGAGATGATCCAGGCGTACGAGAAGCTGTGCGTGGAGAAGGCGGACCTGGAGACGGAGCTGGGAGAGATGGTGGGTGACAGCCACCGGCGGGACAGCAGGGCCCCGTCCCCTCTCCACAACGGCACCCGGGCCCGTGGTGTCCCCATCTCTGGGGAGGCAGGGGGGCCGTGGCGTTTTGGGGTTTTAGGGATGCTCAGATTTACCCATCTTCCCGCTGTCCCGGTGCCAGCCAGGCATCCCCGGCTCCCCTTTCCCAGCCGGGGAGCCGCTCCTGCCACGCCGCTGCCACCGGATCGATCCCGCTCCAAAAAACCACCCCGAAATCCGCGTGTGCCGGGCGGGGGGGTGGGCAGGACGAGCCCCGGGGAGGGGGCGCAGCGTGGCCGAGGCTCAGCCCCGTCCCCTCCCGTGCAGCGGGCGCTGGTGGAGACGCACCTGGGCCGCATCCGGAGCTTGGAGCAGCAGCTGCGGCAGCGCGACGGCGGCGCCTTCCCGGGGCTGGGCACTCAGGACGGGCCTTTCATCGCCCGGCACCCCAGCCCCGGCCTGAGCCACGGTGAGCGCCCCTCCCCGCCCCGCCGTACCCCGGGACCCGCGCCTGAGCCGGGCTGAGCCGTGCCGGGCTGAGCCATGCTGGGCTGAGCTGAGCCGTGCCAGGGCTGAGCCGTGCCGGGCTGAGCTGAGTGGTGCCAGGGCTGAGTCGTGCCCGGGCTGAGCCGTGCCAGGCTGAGCCGTGCCGGGCTGAGCCATGCCCAGGGCTGAGCCAAGCCGTGCCCACAGTGCTGGAGCGCGCCGGGGGCTGGCAGAGCCGCGGGCTGGAGGCCGAGCTGGAGGCGGCGCGCCAGGAGAACCAGCGCGCCCAGCACCGCGAGGAGCACCTCAAGGCCGAGTGCGAGAGGCTGCAGGCGGAGCTGAAGCACCTGCAGGACACCCGGGAGCAGGTGCGGAGCAGGACCGGCCCCGGGGCCGCCCCCGGCCTGGGCGGGTGGGGTTTGGGTGCCGAGGGGTGCTGGGAGCTGGAACGGGGCAGGGTCTGACCCCACAGGACCCCCCTAACCTCAGTGTGTGGGGTTTTGGTGCTGAGGGGTGCTGGGAGCAGGAACGGGGCAGGGTCTGACCCCACAGCACCCCTCATTCCTGCTGGGTGGGGTTTGGGTGCTGAGGGGTGTCTGGGAGCTGGAACGGGGCAGGGTCTGACCCACGGGACCCCCCTAACCTCAGTGTGTGGGGTTTGGGTGCTGAGGGGTGGCTGGGAGCAGGAACGGGGCAGGGTCTGACCCCATAGCACCCCTCATTCCTGCTGGGTGGGGTTTGGGTGCTGAGGGGTCTGACCCACGGGACCCCCATGGCCGGGGGGTCCCGGTCTGAGCAGCTCTGTGTCCCCAGGAGCAGTCGGAGCGGGACATGGCCTGGGTGAAGAAGGTGGGCGATGACCAGTAAGTGCTGGGAGGGGGCTGGGCCGGGGGCTGGGGGACCCCCACGCTGGCAGGGGGGTGGGGGCACACGGGACCGGCTCTGGGGCACGGCGGTCACCCCACACCTCTGGACGGGCTCCCAGGGGGTTCCCCGCATGGAAGTGCTGCAGTGGGGGGATCCCGCACCCCAAAATCACCGACTGTGCCCCAGGGGCTTGGGGATGAGCAGGGCTGCGGGCACGGGGTGCCCGGTACCGAGTGTTGTCCTAGTGCCCGGTGCCGGGTGCCCGGTGTCCGGTGCCTGGTGCTGGGTGCCGTGCATTGTCCCCATGTCCGGTGCCCAGTTCCTGGTGTCTGTGCATTGTCCCGGTGTCCGGTGTCCGGTTTCTGGCGCCCAGTTCCCAGTGTCCGTGCTTTGTCCCGGTGCCTGAAACCCGGTGCCCGGTGCTGAGTGCCGTGCATTGTCCCGGTGCCCGGTTCCCGTGTATAGTCCCGGTGCCCGGTGCCCGGTGTCCGTGCATTGTCCCGGTTCCCGGTGCCCGGTGTCCGTGCATTGTCCCGGTGCCCGGTTCCTGGTGTCCGTGCGTTGTCCCGGTGCCCGGTGCGGACTCGGCGCTGCCTCCAGAGGGCACTGACGGCTCGCGGCTGCCGAGAGAGCGGCCCCGAGTGGCACCGAGGCGGTGACGGTGTCCCCGGACCCCCAAACCCCGAAATTCCCCGGTGGCACCGAGTCGGGGGCACTGTCCCCGAACACCCCCAAACCCCGAGCGGTGGCACCGAGCTGGTGACGCTGTCCCCATACCCCAAAAACCCCCGCAGTGGCACCGAGGCAGTGACGGTGTCCCCGGACCCCCAAACCCCAAAATTCCCCGGTGGCACCGGGTCGGGGCCGCTGTCCCCGCTCTGACGCGGCGCTGGCCTCGCTCGCCGCTGTCCCCAGGCCGGGCGGTGACGGTGACAGCGGGGCCGAGCTGCGGACAGATCGGGGCTGACACGGGAAGGTGCCGGCTGCTGTTTGGGGGGCTGGATCCATCCCCTCCTGCTCCCGAGGTGTCGGATGTTTCCTGTCCTCCTGCGGCACATCAGAGCGAGCGGATCCAGGCGGGGCTGGATCCCTCCCGGGGGGGCCCCCCCCTCTCCCTTCCCCTCCTTAATTCCCCCGATTTCCATAAAGTTCCCTCCATTTCCATTCATTCCCTCCGTTTCCATAAAATTCCCTCCATTTCCATAAAATTCCCTCACCCGAGCTCACCCCCAGATCGCCCCCACGCTCCTCTCACCCCCTTCCCGCAACATCCACGGAAATCCAAACTCCCAAACATCTCCGTTAACGTTCCCCCACCACCAAAATCTTTCGTTTTTAAGCCCAAATCCACCACGCTGGCATGGGGAAACTGAGGCAGGGCTGGCTCCTCACCCCCTCCCCGGGCACAGCTTTTCCCTCCGCGCTCTTTTCTTGCCGATTCAGCTCTTTTTTTGTCACCCGCTTCTCTCCGCCGCTGATTCTTTGGGTGTGAAAAGCGCCTTATCGGCGCTTTCCATCACCGGGTGATTTTCTGGTGCTTCTGCCGCGCTCTGCTTGGGGCGGGGGTCCCCCCGCGTCCCGATCTTTTATTTTGGTGTCTTTCCTGAGGTTTTAACCTTTTTTGGCTTTCTGAGCTCGCGGTTGTTCCCTCTTGGCCTCCCTCACTAGAAAAACCAGGAGACAAATCTTGAGGAAAGC